GTTGTTAAGGGAAGTTAAATCTCATTACAGTTAATGATTCAAGATTTGTTTTTAGGAATGGTGTAAAATTACTATAATTAGGATGTAATTCATGCATAATTGCGGAAAATGCTTACTATATTTAATTTAAGTCTATTCTCATCATATACACTACAAAAATATAGAGTTATAGTGAATGATTTTTTTGTCACTATATCTACAATTGTTGTCACTATATCTATTGTCACTATATCTACAATTGTTGTCACTATATCTACAATTATTGTATATCTACAATTATTGTCACTATATCTACAACAATTGTAGATATAGTGACAATAATTGTAGATATAGTGACAGTAGATATAATGACAACATAATGACAAAAAAATTATTCACTAGAACTCTATATAGCTATACTATCATATAAGTTAGATAGATAAAGATTATATAAAACCACCACTAACAAGAAAATTAAATAAATAAAGTGCAAGAGATCATAAATTGGAAATATAATTTAGGCAATTAGCAAAAGAAGCATCCTTCAAATGAATCAAAAATCAATATCTATGCACACATGACAACCCGCCAACAACCCTTTAGCCATCTTCAGCACATTAACCATAACAACCGAAGACGAAAAGCTCATTGCCACCAGAATCAGCATCCCCATAGCCACACTCGGCTTCGTGTTCATTAAACACGACTGCAAAAATTCCATGGAGTCACAAATGTTTTCATGATAGCGCGTAAAAAACTTATTCTCCCGTTCCAGCCAGTCAGAAGACGGCCTGGCGGCCTCGTTGTTAATACTCTCCAAAACCTTCACTTTCTTGATTCTCATCGTGAGGACGATCATGTTATCGTCGACTGATTTTCCGGGGTCGTTATTATCGTCCTTTTGCTTTGCTTTAACTTTAATTGCTCTTTTGATGGTGATAAGGCCACTTCTTTTGTTGCACTTGAGGGGCAACCTTGGGTTTGATGGTGAGAAATTGGCAGCAATTGAGTTCATGATGATGGTTATGTTTTAGGAATTAAAATAAATTACATAAGTTCTGTTTATTTGATTTGATTTATATAAAAGATCATGCAAGAGATTATTAATGCGTAGACTCAAAGGTTGTACAAATGGGAATGCGTGTGTTGGAGTTAGTTTGTCTTTGGCATAAACTAACAAATTCAGTTTTTTGTTTGTTTGTTTTGCTTTTTTTATTTTTTATTTTTTAATTTTTTGTAAGTAATAATGGTATTTATTGTATTGATTATTGAAGACGGATCCTTTGCTATATACACCCTCATGTTTATAATATGTGTCGTTTTGAAAAGTTGGACAATAATTAATATATTTTTTTTTTTTGCCGATAATACCTATCTTTAATGAAAATTAATAAAGTGAAAATTAAGAGTAGATATGAAAAGGGTGTATTCAGTTAGGATTTTTTAAGACTTTAGAAATCCTGGTGTATTCAATTTAGATTTGTTAAGATTTTATAATACTTTCAAAAATCCTGGGGTATTCAAGTGGGATTTTTAAAAGTCCTATAAAACCCGAAGGTATTTAATTTATTTGGCACTAGTATTTAGTAAGACTTTTTAAATTTTGGTGGGGTTTCTAAACAAAAAAACCTTATACAAAATCTCAGTTCAAATCTCTAGAGTTAAAAGATTTTATAGAACTATTCCCAAATCTAAAAAAATCTTAAGAAGTCTCAAATTTTAAAAAGTCTTAAAATGTCACTTAAATTCCCAATTGAATACACCTCACGTAGTGTATTTATTAGCTAAATGAGGGTAATATTGGAAAAATATGTACAAAACATCCAAAACGTCATTTATTTGATTTAATGGTTGATAAAGCCAAAATAACATTTACAACGAATAGGATGTAATATATTTTGGGTGTAAGAGTTGTTCATTTCAACAATAGGTCATGTGTTACGTTGGTCTAGTTGTTATTAGACCAGACATAATCATTTCATAAATATGAATAATTTCATTAGTATGTCATATTCTCATTCTCATAAGAGAAGTATAACAAAGCATCATATTTAACATTATAAGCATACATTTTTTTTTTCCATAAAGTGTGACGGGTCGATCTGCATATAAATAATTTTATTAGATTTTTTATCTAGTGTTTCGTCACGGTATGAATATATATGAATGACGCGTTTAAACTAATAACATCATTGAAAATGGTTTCTCAAATCATTTTTTTTGGGGAGAAAGGCTGGAAAAAGAGACCATATATTCACCACAAAGGTCAAAGCTCGTCCAAGAAGCAAGGAATTGGAAGAGTAGAACATAATTCTTAGTAACCTTTTCTTCCAAAAGTTGCTTCCAAGGAACAATCTGTATACATGTTATTATGTACCTAAGTGTGGAAAGATGGGATGATGACTAAACTCTAAAGCGCCGCAAAGAAATTTAAATTTGCGTGATCAATTATATCATGAATAGCTAAATAAAAATTAAGATGGCTAAATAATATAATATCGAGATGTGTGAAAAGTGAGAACACTGTGTTTTTAAAACTGATTCGTCTGTATGAGTGTCTGTTCCCTAAAATACAATGGTAAAATAAAATAAAATCTGGCAAATTGTAATTATGCCTGGACTGAAACAGTACTATAAAAGAAAATTTGAGGAAAATGACTCCTTTCATGTATCTTCTCCTCAAAGATTAACACTCTATTTATAGGCCTAAGATAAGCTACTTTAATTAATTAATACACTTAATTAAAAAATTAGCAAATGAAAATCCGATGAACTGGAATAATTATGTCTGCCCAAAATAATGTAAAAGAAAAATGGGGGAACGAGAGTTTAGGGTGTGATTGTTTATGGATTCAACTAGTTTTTATTTGATTTTTTTTTAACTATAGTTAATTTTTTTTTTTTTTTTGGTACAGGGACCTTCCGGTTTCCGGATCCACAGGAGAACCGACTAATCCGGAATCGAGCCGGGTAGGACCACAAGGGCGGCAAAGCTCTCCCTCAAGAGTTTTAACACTGCTGCATTCCCAGGGCTCGAACACGAGACCACTGGTTAAGCTGGAAGAGACCCAAACCATCTCATCCAAGTGCTCTTGGGTAACTATAGTTAATTTTGAAAAAAAAGGTAGTATGGTTAGTTGTTAGTGGATATATTAAAATAATATTTAAAAAAAATAATTAAAGTTGATTTGATGTAAAGTAGGATAAAAATTATTGGAAGTGATTGTTAGTTAAAATTATGTGAGTGGGTGAATAGAGAATTAAAGTTGATGTGATGTGGG